ATTGCAATTCAGATTTTTTTTTTCTGTGCAGTTTTTATTTTAGCATTTTTAGGGCATTTAACACTTCAGGTCCTTTCTTTCTTTGGTTATTTGATTCTGCTGTGGGATTTTGTAAAGGAAATAGGTCAAGGACTTTATCACTAGTTGTCAATTTATATTCAGGGATAGAAGTTCCCTCCCCCCTCATCCCACAAAAAAAACCTGAACCTGAAAATGTGGGTTACTTTATAGCAGGGAAAATATGATAGTATGCTGTTTACAGTCCGGGGAAGCGTGTACCACAGCTATCATGTGACTTCCAGTAAGTGACCATCTATGCACTTCTATACAGATAAACAAGGATGTGGATGAAACTTCCTGTTGCAGTCCCCTATAGATAACTAAGAAATATTTCTCAGAAGTGTGATTCAAGCCTCTTCCCTTTTCTGACATTTTATATGGCCAACTATTTGAGCTGGCGGCTTCTCTGTCCTCATGTGCTCCTCCTGACCCATACAGGTGCTGCTTCTGAGAACTCAACAAGAATGTTACAGGCTAGAAAGACAGTGTAAAGCCCAGCAGACAATGAATTAAATAACATAAAGCCTAACTAAGAAAAGACGCACAAAATGAAACAGAATAAGGAGAGAAGGGATGTGACCCTCTAGTGGAAAGAGGAACTAATCATTAATAAACACCAGCAATTATTCCAGTTCCCACCTCGTATTGCTTGTAAAACCCCACCACCTTCCCTGTACCTCTCATGTTGACTAGAATAGCTGATGTTACATATTCTGCGGGGAAGTGTTGCATTGCTTGGCACTGGCTGTGAATGGAGAAGTGTCCTGACTCCACCCAGGCCTGCTGGCTTCCCCGTTTGGAAAGGAACCGGGGTCTCAGCTGACTCATGGCAATTGTCATTGGATCTCATGTGCAGGTTGTGATAGGTCATTTCTCCTTGTTTTGCATGGTTTAGGTACAATCTCTGACTTGTGTTGAACCCCCACACAGGTAACTCAACGCTCCCTAGTCCCCGATTGCTTGCACACACTCCTTCAGGGACTACCCATAGGTAGGTGGAACTCCAGGCTTTCTGGGACAACGTGGCAGGCATGCCATGGACAAAGGAAGAAGGGAGGCTTAACACAGGAATTTCTTAACTACGGGCACTTTCCTTTTGAAAGCACTAGAGAGAGACAAATCTATGAAAAACATCTAATGTTATCAAATAGATGTGAGAAACACAGATTTCTGCCAGATAACCACAGAGCTGATAAGCCTTGAGGATGAGAGCTCTTTCCTTATCTAAGAAGATCTCTGAAGCTTAGTACAAGATAAAATAATGTCCTACCCATGGAAGATGTGAAGGGCCCCTTTTAGTTATTCTACAAGATGACTGAATGATCTCTTCAATGAGTGAATACATCTATTCCATAGTCCTATACACTTCTTTTTAAAGACATCATAGTCAAACTACCATACCAAAGAGCCATGTCATTACCCCCCAACTGTACCTCTGTTTAAATCATGGTTATCCTTAAAATTGACTTTCTGGACTTGCTACTGTTCAAAAAAAATGAAACCAGGTTTTTCTCTGTGGCTTACATTTGCTTTAGGTGAGAAAGTTATGCTGGAAAGTCATTTATACAAAGATATTCAAACATGAGTTCTCCAAAGTTTCACAAGAATAGTCTTTAATATAAAATATTAAGGTCATTTATTAGATAAAACTATGCATAAAATTGGCCAACAAGTAAACAGACTGCGGAAAATTCAGCTCTATATTTCAAAGAGCTACAGAAATGTTACACAATTCAGCACACATCAGCTTTTAGTCTTCTTTTGAAGATTATTAGCCTCTGGTGCAATAGGTTTATCTTTCCTCAGGGAAATACATTCTTCTGCTATGACAAAAGATCACTCATTTCATCCTCTATTTTTCTATTTTTCTTTGTTAAAATTAAAAAAAACCCTAATTCCTGCCTTTGCAGTGACAGGACATTGACAGTTCCCTCATCTTCCTGCTTTACCGGTGGCAAAGTTAAAGGATGTTTTTGATATTTCAGGCCTATTATTTGATGTTATTATGCGTAGTAGCTGCATATGCAGGTTTGGTCCAGACATTATTAAGAACACGTTAGACATACTCTTGATCAGGATGGTTTTAACAAGGATGATCCTGCCTTGAGCAGGGGGATGGACTAGGTGACCTCCTGAGGTCCCACCCAGCCCTCCTTTTCTATGATTCCAAGGTATATAAGTTCTGTGGTTGTGTTTAAGGGTCCTGAAGTCTTGATGCTTTGCATGATGGGAAAAGACAGGTCATCTTGTAAGGAACATTGACTGAGAAGAGTTATGGTGCCCATTATAATGGCTTAGCAGATCGTAGTTTCATAGTTTCTAGGGTCGGAAGGGACCTGAGCAGATCATCTAGTCCGACCCCCTGCCATGGCAGGAAGAGCACTGGGGTCAAACGACCCCAGTAAGGTGGTCATCCAACCTCCTCTTAAAAACCCCCAGGGTGGGAGCCTGCACCACCTCACTTGGAAGCTGGTTCCAGACCCTAGCCGCCCTGACCGTGAAGTAGCGCCTCCTGATGTCCAACTTAAACCTTCCCTCCGCCAGCTTGTGACCATTGTTCCTGGTCACTCCTTGCGGCGCTCGGGGGAACAGGGACTCCCCCAGCGCCTGCTGATCCCCCCTAACCAGTTTATAACAGGCCACAAGATCCCCCCTCAGCCTTCTCTTTTGAAGGCTGAACAGGTTCAGGTCCCGCAACCTTTCCTCATAGGACCTACCCTGCTGTCCCTTGATCATATGAGTGGCCCTCCTCTGGACCCTCTCGATGCTGTCCACATCCCTCTTAAAGTGCGGCGCCCAGAACTGGACGCAGTACTCCAGCTGCGGCCTGACCAGTGCCGCATAGAGGGGGAGGATCACCTCCTTGGACCTGCTTGAGATGCATCTGTGGATGCACGACAAGGTGCAGTTGGCCTTCCTAACCGCCTCCCCACATTGCCGACTCATGTTCATCTTGGAGTCAATAATGACTCCCAGATCCTTTTCCACCTCCGTGCTGACAAGAGGGGAGTTCCCCAGCCTGTATGTGTGGTGCCGATTGTTCCTCCCCAGGTGCATCACCTTACACTTGTCTGTGTTAAACCCCATCCTGTTCTCCTCCGCCCATCCTTGTAACCTATCTAGGTCTAACTGTAGCCTGTTGCTCCCCTCAATTGTGCCCACATCCCCCCACATCTTAGTGTCATCAGCAAACTTGAACAGGGTGCTTTGCACCCCCTCATCCAAATCACTGATGAAGATGTTGAACAGGGCGGGCCCAAGGACCGAGCCCTGTGGGACCCCACTTCCCACGTCCTTCCAGGTCGAGAAGGACCCATCCACTACCACCCTCTGGGTGCGACTCTCTAACCAGTTGGCGACCCATTGGACTGTATGGGTGTCTACGCCACAGTCCCCCAGCTTCCTAATGAGAATGGGGTGAGAGACAGTATCAAAAGCCTTCCTGAAGTCTAGGAAAACTATATCCACTGCCACCCCTGCATCCAATGATTTAGTGACCTGGTCGTAAAAGGCCACCAGGTTGGTCTGACAGGACCTGCCGCTGATGAACCCGTGCTGGTTGCCCCTGAGCATGCAGTTCCCTGCTGGCCCCTCCTGGATGTGTGCCAGAATAATTTTCTCGAACAGCTTGCCCAGGATCGAGGTAAGGCTGACTGGCCTGTAGTTCCCCGGGTCCTCTTTCCTTCCCTTTTTGAAGATGGGAACCACGTTGGCCCTCTTCCAGTCCTCCGGCACCTCTCCAGAGCACCAAGATTGTTCATAAAGCCGTGCCAGGGGACTTGCAACGACCCCAGCGAGCTCCTTTAGGACTCTAGGGTGAAGATCATCCAGGCTGGCTGACTTAAAAACATCCAGCCCCTCCAGAAGCTCCCTAACTAAATGCTCACTCACTCTAGGCCAGTCCTGAGAAGAGCTAAGTCCACTGAAGTCAGTAGTTGTTGAGACACTCATCACCTTTGAGAACCAGCCCTTTAGTGCCTGGTCATACACTGTGGAAGTCAGTGGAAGCCTTGCTGTTGATACTGAAGAGTTCAGCCTCAAGTATTTAAGACTGATTTCCTCTTACCTGCTTCACTCTTGATACAGTTAACAGTAAAATGATTGTGCAGTATATGCATAGGACACAACACTATACAGAGCCCATAGACATGCCTGGTACATCCACTGCACTGAAGTGCTGAAGATCTAGTTTTAGACTTGAAAAAACATGCAAAAATGACAAACAAAAGTGAGACTAGATTCAAGAGGGCAAAGGTGGCAGCAATAAAATCACAGGGTTACTTGGATTTGGTAGGGGAACATCCTGATAGCTGCTCTCTTTAAATAGGATAACTCACCTACTCTGGGCCAAAAGGAAGAAGAGGGGTTTTAGAAGGATGTGGCTGTGGAGAGACCTGGTGAATAGAAACTAGGAGGATAAATCATAGAGTAGCTGCTACAACTGGCTTCATTGTTTCAGTCCTTTAAGACCAGGCCAGGATAAAACTAGTGCTTTGCCCTAGGGAACAATGTTGTATCAGCAGTCTTTCTGATCTCTTCCCTCTTTGACTTTGTTATTCTAAACAAAACAATCTGTTTGTTCATTGTGTTTCATTCTGAGCCTAAATGGCCTTGGTTTGGAAGGTTTAAACTGGGTTTTAAATAAGGTTGTTTTTCCTTTTTCCAAAAAAGAAATGTAATGCAAGAAGAAAAAAAGCAAGATGGACATGGGGAAAAGTATACCCGGTTTTTTAAATTATTTGATTTTCACAATTGTATCAGTAAGATAGGGTACAACATGGCATTGGTTATAAGACATGATTTTTAATTAGACAAACAATGCCATCTTCATATGAATAGTTCAGTTTAGAGTTTCTTAATGATGCAATTCTGTCTTTCAAGCAATGCAGGGGAACAATTATTATTTTCTTTCAAAAAACCTGTCTTTGCTGGCATTCCCCCCCCCCCCCCCCCCTTTTAGCAGTGGAAATATACTGGTTTTGCAAAAGTTTATTTTGCAAAATAGAAATGGTCCTCAAACCTATAATAAAGTAACCCCTTTAATGTTTCAGAAATTTACAGAGCATTAGCCTAAGGGAGGCTAAAAGAAGATGCGCTGTTGTTTTTGCTTCTCTTCACTTTCTTTTACAGGTCTGGTGACTACATTCTTCTGGGTCATGTGTTCAGGAAAGATGGACTATACAGAGACGTGCAGCATGGAAAATATTCTAACCAGGAATAGTTATGTTGACAGGCTTCACACGTGATGCACATTTGTATATTCCTCACATGTATTTTATTAATAGCATGAGACAGAGACAGGGAGAGCGAGTTATTTCTCTTTCCTCAAATAAAACACCAAAAACCAAATTCTTTCTTCTTTATCACATTCAACCTGTACACAGCTGATTACTCTATCTTCCTAGAAATAGCACACAATACCGTTAGGAAACCAATGTAGTGCAGAGCAAATGAACATCAGTGAGAATGGCTTCTAGGCTTGTCTGATTGTGTCTGATTGTCACAAGAAAGGAGTGAGGCCAGCAGGACAAAGGACATAGAATCCAGCATTTGATTAAAAAATAAACAGGGAAGACATGAATAGAGGTAATTATCTCAGAGGCCTTTTTCAGGATCCTTCCCAAATGCAAACGGAGCAAAAAAGGGTCCCCAAGTTCGTTTTGGTACTGTGGGCCAGTGCACGCTTTACAGCTCTCCTCAGACCTACATGCTTGCATGGTCCTACCAGCAGAGGGAATGAAAACAAGTCTCCACCCAGACCAACAACCTTCTCCCTGTGGGTAAGTTCAGGAGAATTTTCTCACCCTGGTAAGACAGTCACAGAGGGAAATCAAATTTAATTCCTAGCATTTTTTTTTTCTCTCCTGCCTTAAGTTTAAATTCCCTGCATTCATTTCCTCTAACCTTACTGCTCCTGTTGGTTACAGTGAGTCAGAAATGTTGGAAGGTGCTGTTTCTCCAGGGCACTTTGCTAGCTGAGTAACATAGTTATTTCCTTCTCTCCAGCAGTCATTAAGGGCATGCTTAAGGGAGCTGGTGAATCAGTCATAGACTGGCAAAGGATCCACAAACAACTTAATATGGTAGGTTTCACAAGCTGTTTGGAATTGTTCTAGATAATGTAAAAAGTCATATGGTGTTCTTGGGGACATATATATGCACGCCTTTCCTGTACTGAGGTTACTAGGAGACATGCATGTGCATCCAAAGGCCACATTGTGTTCAAGGTCATTATTACCTGAAGAGACGTACACATTTCTGATTGTTTCTTTTACTCCATTATAGCCAGTAGGTCAAAGAGGTACCTGGGTGGCTCCCATGAAGCTTGCATGGCTAAGACACCCCAGTTCATGTGGGACACAAAGGAGTGATGTTGCTAACACCATGTCCAGCCACCTTTGATGCCCAGGTCCAAATGACTAGGTACCCATTTACAACTGGGATGACAAGGGCAGTGTTTGGTGTGAGGCTTGAACTCAGACCTCATGATCCCTACCAAGAAGCTTACCTGCTATGCTCCTGTTATAGACAGGTTTCAACCAACCAACCAGAAAAGGGCTTCTTCTTTTAAAAGGAGCAGTAAGAAAGCTCAGTACTAGCCCCACCAAAGATCTTGATTGCCTTAAATCACCACCAGCAGCTGTTTTTGGACAAGCTGGCACCTGTTCACCATTCTGAGCTCTACAGCCAATTCAGCAGCCATCCACTGAGCATTGTGCTGCCCTAGACAGCAGTCCTTAGGGTAAATATCTTATTCCCGGTAATGATATTACTAGTGTCTGAAATACGAGGATGAAGAGGCTACAATCTGTGAGACTAGCTCAAATTCCCAGTGAATATAAACTACATAAAACAAAGGCTGTAAAAAAAAAATCTACTTTCTTGCCTTTTAGATACTAGAAGTTACTTAAATTAGACTGAATAAAGTACTTTAGAGTTTACTGACTGAGATGGAAAGTGGACTACAGGAAGGGTGGATCATAGGATGTGTACTCAGGAAACCTGTGTTCTCATCCTGGCTTTGCCAGACACAGGCTAGGTGACCTTGGTAAATCACTTAGGTCACTCTGATATCAACAAGGAGGCACCCAAAGTTTGGAGCCATGTTCAAAGTGTTGGGCATAGATTGCAGTTGGTTATAAAGGTGGGTAGATTCAGCTTACTTTTGCAATGATAGGGAAGAGGATGATAGCTACTAGCTAGAGTCCAGAGATATGGTCAAAGTAATGGGCTAGGAAACAGTGTTCCCAATGGGTATTAACGGGGTATTGGCTTTCTTCCACCTTTCTCTATAATGTGTTTTAAGGCAGACTTTTTTGTGCAAAAGAGATTGTGCCTAAAGATACTGTAGATGCATTTTAAAGGAGTGTTAAAAGGCATGAGCTAAAGAAAAGAATGAAGGACTTGGCTGAATGCCCCTTGAAGTCAAATATCCATCTGAATGTCCAGCTCTTACAAAGGGATTGGAATAGCAGGGTTGGAGAACATCTGAGTGCTAGTGCATTATAAAATGCACTGAAATCCAGACTTTGGATAACATTCAGGAATTGTTTCAGCTTTTGTTGCCATGAGTGGTGAGCTGCCTGAATATGGCACCCCCTGTGAGGAGTAGTTTCATATTGCTTACCATTCGGGGTCTGCATTTTGTTGAAAATTTTGTTAATTACAGACACGTGATTGTAAAAATATTCTAACTCCTCCAACAAGGTTTCATTTTTCTTGTCTGTGCCATTCCGCTTCATAAAGCAGTAGAAATCATTGTAGTCTACTGACCTCGCTGAAGAAAACCTTCATATCACATACAGCCATGCAGATTGGCAATTTTTGCATACTTCATCCCAGCCTGCAGTGATGGTGGAGTGTAACTTTACCTGTTATTGAGTCCATAGACAAATGCTCTATGGTTTAAAAGACTGAACAGTGGGTTCATCTACACATACAGTTAATGCAAATGAATAAACTCTGGTGTACTTCGCATGAGAGTTTATTGCTCCTGAGTGAAGCATTCGCATGTGCGCTTGGGACCGTAGCACACTGAGCCACGATGGAGCAGCCCCAGCCTGCAGGAGGCCCCGGGGTTCAGCCTGCTAGCCTGGGGCTGCTCTGACCCAGCTCAAGGTACTGTGGAGGGGCTGGCTGGGGCATGAGGGTGCTTCAGTGAGGGTCTAGCTGGCAGGCAGTCCCCCATGGAACAGTGGGGGTACCCTCATGCTCCAGCCATCCCGGTCAGCACCTACACGTGCACTGCAGTGAAGTAAACTCCACCATAGGATAATACTTGTGTCTGGCAGTACTATCCTATGGCAGAGTTAATGAGTTTACTCCAGCCTAATAGCACGGCACATGTAGACACTGATGTCTTATTGCGGAGCTATTTAGTCAGCTCCACAGTAAATGTCTCATGTAGATACGTTCCATGTGAATGATTCAGGGCTTGACTGCTGAGGAGGTAACATGAACAAACTGAGCAGGCATTTAGATAATGGGACTGCAAGGCCAAGATGAACAGTAATAGCTCTGAAGGTTATTTGTCCCTCTCCAGGTGGAGGTGACATATTCACCCCCAGGATGAGAACAAAGCAATGCTCCAGGATTCTCACCCGGACAGCACCCCCCAGCTTGCAGAATGTGTTTTCATAGGAATTTTCCTAGCCTGTTTTTGGCAGAGAATTAAGTCGAAAGAATTGTATAGGGTTGTTTTTTTTAATGTAGCACAAAAGCTAATTAACTAAAGTAAAGTACACCTTGTGTATTGGCTTTAATTCCTGTCCAGATGTTACACACACCACTGTACAGTGCTGCATAATGAAGCTTTGCATGTATGTGGTGCCTTCTATTCATAGACTTCAAATGACTTCATAGCTGATGATAAGGGAGAAAAATTGTAGGTAAGTAGCCACCTTTATCCAGACAGTAATTGACATCACTGGAGTAATGGCAGGGATGAATTTATCCATTACCTTGATATTATTTATGGGGAAATTGAGGCTCTGAGAGCTTAAGTGATTTGACCTCATTTCCACAGAGTCTATTGGTGCGATAATAGGAATTAGAGCACCGATCTTCTAAGTCGTGGTTCTGGGAGTTGGCCACAAGACTGCAGGTTGTTTTTAGGTATTATATACATCCGGATTTGGCATTCTGTGCTTCGTCTACTTGTTTCATTCACTCCTTTTTGAGCCTACAGATAGAACAGCTAGGCACTTGCGTGGTTTGCCAGTGTATCAGCCTATATCTCGGCTGACTTCTTGTTTTCCACATGAAGTTTCATGCAGAATTTCTGTAAAGGTGTGGTGTACTACTGCTGCCAATGTGTGCCTAGACACTGTTGTGGCATGTTAATAGGATTCCTGTAATTCTTATGTGACCTATCTTTGTAGTCTCTCAGCACAGAGAGCTTAGTAATCTCTGAACCAAGACAACCTATGAATCTGTTATGTAATTCATTTAGGAATGAAGCGCACCCATAAAGGGTGACATAGATTTTTCCCAGACAACAGCCTGATTGGATGTAGGAAAAGTATCAGTAATCTGGAAGGATGGGGGAACCAAACAGCCCAACACAAAGCTAGAGCCAGTGTCGTCCACGCAGGGTGCTTGGGCTAATGCATCGGTATAAATGCAGATCTCGTGGCATCTTCTTGTGTCCATTGGTGCTGTCACACCAGTCTACACACGGTTGCCATGGAGACCTTTTTGGAACATTGCAGGAGGGTGTATAAGCATCTCTGAATAGCAGCTGGGCATCTGTCAGCAGCTGTACGGCACAAATCTGATGCTGGGATTTAATGTTGGGCGCCAGGGCAAGGCCTCTCCCAGCCAGAACTAAATGTTCATCAAAGGCATAATTCCTTCGCCAGAGCTTGCTATTGAACACCACATTTCTGTTTGTGTAGGTGATAGGAAAACCTCTAGTTAGATTTTAATTTGTGTTCCAGCCCCTGCCCAAAATCAGAGCTGCAGCAATCAGAACCTGATGCTGCCCCAGCTTCAGCACCTCTGCCCTGCCTATCAGCTTTTACATGCAATGACATGGAAAAAATTAATTCACTGAACATTAAGTGGAGGTAAATTTACTATAATGTATACTACATCAGTGACTAGATGCTCAAACCAGCCTGGGGCTTCCATTGAGGTATGTACCAACGAGACACTATCCAGGGACTGCCCCAGAGACTTGGCAGTCTAAACAGACAAGATGGACACGGGGTATGGGAGGAGGTGGAATGTATGGGCAGATTGGTCAGTGTGAGGGTGTTGTGTGGGATAGCAAGGTTATGTAATCTTCCTCTTCATTTTTTTGGGTGATAGTTTCATAGTGTTTAGGATCGGAAGGGACCTAAACAGATCATCAGGTCTGACCCCCTGCGCCGGGCATGAATGAGTGTGGGGTCATAACACCCCAGCCAAGTATCTGTCCAGCCTCCTCTTGAAGACCCCCAAGGTAGGAGAGAGTAGCACCTCTTGGGAGCCCATTCCAGAGCCTGGCAGCCCTAACTGTGAAGTAACGTCTCCTGATGTCCAGGCTGAACCTTCTCTCTAACAATTTGTGGCCGTTATTCCTAGTAACCCCTGGTAGATCTTAGCTTCTGGAGGGACAAGAGGCTGTGCAAACTGTCCCCCAGAATCATAGAAAATTAGGGTTGGAAGGGACCTTGGGAGGTCACACCTAGTCCAACTCCCCACTTGAAGTAGGACCATCTCCAACTAGATCTTCTCAGCCAAGGCTTTGTCTACCCGGGCCTTAAAAACCTCCAAGGATGGAGAGTTCACAACCCGTCTGGGTAACCTGTTTCTGTGCTTTACTACCCTCCTAATGAGAGAGTTTTTTTTCTAATATCCAGCCAAAACTTCCCTTGCTGCATCTTGAGACGCTTGCTTCTTGTTCTGTCATCTGCCACCACTGAGAACAGTCCAGCTCCATCTTCTTTCAAACCCCCCTTCAGGTAGTTGAAGGCTGCTATTAAATCCCTGCTCTCTCTTCTCCAGACTAAATAAGCCCAGTTCCCTCAGCCTCTCCTCAGAAGTCATGTTCCCCAGCCCCCTAAACCTTTTCATTGCCCTCCACTGGACTCTTTTCAATTTGTCCACATCCTGGACACAGTACACCAGATGTGGCCTCACCAGTGCCAAATAGAGGGGATGTATCACTTCTCTCGATCTGCTGGGAAAGGGTCTCTCAAAGGTGTGTGGTCTGCTGGGGCTTCTCCTGGAACAGTGCTGCCTCCTCACCCCCTCCTGGCCAAGACTGTCCCTCAAAGCACCTGGATCTAATGTCTCATAGCTCATGCCTTGTCCAGAGGCCTCAAACTTTTGCTCTGGCACCCAAGCATACACAGAGCATTCCAGACAGGTAAATTCTGTTCTCATTAATCTAGAGACTGAAATGCATGTGTGTTACGGTGGAGCTCATAATAGAAAGTTTACTAACATCTCCACTATGGAGAGATTACCACCATGCCATAATGAAATACTGTATCTTTTTCTAAATATCTAGAGGCAATTAGCACTCAAAGCACTGCGTGGACTGCAAGATCCTCCTAGCAATAAAGCCAGTGCTGTAGCTCACATGGGGCCAGGGGGATTCCCTATCAGTGACTGTTTTATGAGATGGGCTTCATTCTGGCTAAAGAAGGGGTTAAGGAGCTTAGTGAGCTCCTGGTGAAAGGGAGGATTTCAACTGCTACAGTTTGCTGTGTGAAATTGCCTGTGAGTAAGGCTAGAAAATGAGGAAATTGTTGCTTTTCTGTTATTGTATGTGGAACATATTTGGTTTCTGCCCTCTTTAAGCAGGAGGAAAGGTTTCACATTTGTTATTTGTGAAGGCCATGGATATGTAGGAGCCCAGGAGCATTGATACAAATGAATAGATGACCAAGGGAAAAAATAAAAGTCTTACATGGTATTGTTTGTGCTACTTCCAGGCTCTAGTGCCACCCACATATACACAAAATGTAGCACAGTAAATCCAGGACAAGAGTAAAGCTGGAAAGAAAGGTGCTTTTTGAACAACAAGATCAGCAACTTATCATAAGCAGAAGCAATTTGCTCCTCAACTGCACAGCACAGACATCAGCAGAATTACCAGTAGTTGTGTACACACATTCATACACATACCCCTCACCTATTTTTCTCAGACGCTAATCTTATCAAAGGTCATTTAGTAGCCAGACCACAGTCTCTTCATGCTAGACAGACTGGGGATGATACCCAGATTCTGGAGCCCCTGGATTTCCAAAGTTAAGCAGTAGGCTCTCCTAGAAACTTCCTGGCTGAGGTCCAGAGAAATGAGTTCTGATTCCTTTTATGTCTTTGAGTCATTTACTATCCACAATAAAGAGCCCATAAAAACTTGGTCTGTATTGTAATTACTCAGTTATTCTAGGGTGTAGCTTTGGTATTCAAACAGCTAAGCCCTGATTCTGCTCTCAAGCACACAGCGTAACACTAAGTACATTTCAGTATAACTACATGCAGAAACCGGCACTTAAATATTGCCCCTAATATGCTCACTTTTTCAAAAACTATCAGTGGTTATTAGCGGCATGTGAACAAAACTGCCCGCTGGCTAAGCAGTTTTCAAAATACACACACCCTATGAATCTCAGTATTGGGATTTGGAGCTTTTTTTAACATGAACGAAGAAATATAAGATTAATCTATTTTTTAAAGTATTTTCATGTTCATCAAGAGTTCAGTGCAAGTCAATAGAGTTAGGATTGGGAGTCAATGAGACCAGTCCTAAAGCCTTTGCTCAGGTGAGTAACAGTGCTCGGAAAGGGCCTGTAATTGGTTATACACATATGAGGGGTGAATTTACCCTTAACAAAGAATAAGTTACTAACTAAATTGTGCACCTTTTCCTGTTCGTGACACTTCTATATGTGGATCCAATTTTCACAGCTTACTAGAATCATCTCAAGAAAGCTTTCTGCCAGTTAACCTTGGCCTGTAGATCACTTAATTGCTAGAAGTCTCTGTTTAAGTTATCTAAATATTTATATGGCCTTCCAATGACTAATATATTTATTTTCATAGTTCCTTCTGAGGTGGATAATCCGGATACCTTTTATTGAGAGGGAACTGAGGCAAATACAATAATGAAGCAATTTGTATAAGCTCACAGAGAAAGGAACTGAATGCCAGTCTCAGGTGCTGTGAATATAAATCCATTTGTTTGTTCAAACTAACCTTTTGCTTCCAGGTGCATTGGTTAGCATGAATTAGATGCCAGGGCACACGGTGTAGTTTTCCTTTTTCTGAATGGCTGATCACAACTAAGAGCCTGGTCTCTATTCTGATGAATGGAAAATTCACCTCTGAACATATTCTTGAATATATGCATGAAAGCTGCTGTTTCTGTGGTGATGCTAGTAAGTGAATATATTCATTAGGAACTTCTCAGGGAGAAAACAAACAAAAAAAAGAGCATAACCCAGCTGAGTGCATTTATTGATTTATTTGAATATTCACTGTTGTGGGATCCTTGTCTCAGTATTATTTGTCCCTGCCCTGACCAGCAACTAGTCAATTCTGGCTAACATTTTCACACGTGTCAACTTTGGGTGTCCAGATTGAGGCACTGTATTTAAAATGGTGGAGACTGCTCCGCCAGATATCAGGTCCTGAGGCTGCTTGCAGACATTAAAAAAAACCACCAGAAAACGGTGCTTTACTTTAAACTCAGTGAGCTCCTGTGCCGAGCCTGATGCATGCCCAGAGGAGGCAGCACGTTAGTTGGACCTGGCTCAC